TGAAAATTTTGTCAAAAATTTTCATGGGATGATTGTGTGTGAAGAGAGAGGCATTCATGCTTATTCAGCTGGTTTTAAAGCCCATTGGAATGCAATTGGATTTAGGGAAAAAAGAATGAAAACATGAAAGTTTACAGGATAATTAAGGAAATGCAAAAGAAGTTTAAAAAGATACTGAGAAAAACTTTCCATCTTAATTAACATGCACAATATAAATGAGACGGATTTTGAAAAATATCAGGCCTATCAAGTGCATGCTCACATGCTATTACAATTAGAGTACAGAAAAACGGAAGCCTTCTACAGAGCCAGCACTGGGGAAAATAATCATTGGGGATTTCTTTGGAAGTTTTAATCTCTTAAACAATAAAACACACATGTTCAGCAACCAAGCAACTGTACTTTACACGAACGAATCACAAACAATATGCTATAACTTGCTACTGATCAACTTCATATTACCATGAATTGTTCTTTATTTGAAACATCAAATCTTAGTAACTTTATTATTTACCTATAACATTTGATGAGGACTTTTGTTCTAAAACAAATGTTTATTATTTTTACAGAATGATTTTATTTCAAAATATTGCAGCAAAATGAAATATGCTAAATGTTTGCCTCTGACGTGTAGATATTGGTTAATTGTTTATGCAAAAACTTTTAATACTATAATTATATAATTTGATAGAATACCATCTTTCCTTCCGGAATTTTAAGCTCTACCTAGTTCTTTTTGAATTTTTATAATGAAGAGATTTGTTTGACAGCACACTGACAAATGCAGTTAAGTTCTTTGAAAGTACAATGCTGAAATATTGGATTTAATAAATATTGAATTTATTGGATTCAATAGAAAAATACATATACCTTTGTCAAAATTTCTTGGGAGATAATGTTTTAAAAACTTGAATAAATACTGTAGTTTTACTTAACAGACACAGAATATTACAAACATACTTACCATTAATCATGGTGGGGTGCTGTATGCTCTCATTTCCATTGGCCAAAGGCTTATTTTTTAATCTAAATATATGCCTCTTACTTACAGTCAGTACTTTATTCTGTGTTTCTATTAATCATTGCATTTAAAACTAAACCAATGGGCTTGAGAGGATGTGATGCTAAACAATTCCAAAGGAAAAAAAAATCATTTTGATCAAGAAAAAAATGGAGAAAGGATCATGCACTATGTTCTGAAACTGCAAATAAATACTTTCTCATTTAATATTTTTTAAAAAATGGATTGCATTATTTTTCCATACAGAACACTGCAATTACGTATTCTAATATGGACTGCTGAAATCCATCAAGGATTGGCATCAAGGGTGAAGGCATTTCATATACGCGGGGTGCCCGGGGTACAGGGTATGAGTGTTCTATATGAAAAGTGATGCACAATCCACAAATCAACAAATGCTCAAAAAGATGTTCAACTTACCGTCTAAATTTGAGATGTACTCTGCTAATGCTAAGAAATAAAAGGCACATGAGAGTTGAAAAAAGAGTAAAAAGCACCCACCTTCCACATTGTTGTCTTCTGAAAGCACATGACAAGGAGGGAGAAAAAAAGGAAAAACATTCATTAAGCAGCATGCAGACCGGAACTTGCCTTTGCATGTCTTCCTCATGCAAGGCACCAACACAACATGCAGTACTCCCTGGCTACCATCCAAAGGGGAAAATAAAACCATGGGAAGCAGGTTCGCTCCCACTGGCAGCATTTAAAAAATATGACCAAATTTCAGTAATACTGGTATTTCCTGAACAAGGAGTTTTAAAGTCTTTCACTGCCTTGTGTAAAGCAAACATTCTTATATGTTGCTGGCACCGTTTTCCTAGGCAATAACTTTTAAAGCTTTTTTTATACCATTCTTAAAGATTCTATTTCTAAATTCTGATTTGGACTTCGACGAAAGAAAAATAAACATGGAAGTCTCATTTAAAGATATTCCAGTTCTACTAAATATGTAATCAATTTTCTATCATGGCCTTTAAGTATTTCTAATACTTCACTTTTTTTTCCTTAAAGAAACACAACATAAATACGCAACTAAAGACTACAATTTATTTGACTTATTTTTCGTGTTCATATTTTATTGCAAATGATGATAGTTTATTGTAACTATGAAAATGCTGACTTTTAAATGTTAAGTGGAAAAAGTAACCATTGCAAGAGAAGTCCATTTGGCAATGTCCATTAAGCAAAGTTTATCAAGATTTATTTACGTTGTATTTCTGTTTAGGGTGTGAATGTGAACAGAGTTAAGATAAAGATAATATTTGATAAACTTTTCCTTATGTTTCCATACATCGATATAATATTTACATATTTTATATATTTAAATAAATTTCCACATATGGATAATCAAATTTGTATATGTATTTCTACAATTAATCAATACAAGTGAATAGGATTTACACTATTATTAGTATTTAGAATTTACCAACTATTTGAGACACAGGCCTTGGCATCCAGGTAGGAAATGTAAGGGAAAACTGTTTTATGGGAGTAGGGAGAGAAAAAGGTTTCAATAGCAATCAAAATTTCTCCAATAATAAAGTATATCCATGTTGAAATTCCTAGTCTCATTCTTAAATTTCATTTAATTAGCTATACGTTTTTTAAAGTGCTCATTTGATCAAAAGTGTTTTATAGACAAAACAATAGCAAGTGTAAAAATGAGAGAATATAACTAAAAATGAATCATTTCATAAGTTTCAACAAATAACACTTTAATGGTTAAAGTTATTAATGATTTAAAAATCATCAATTTTGTTTAAATTGTATTAGCTGGAAACTGAAATGTCAACAGAGGCACATTTACTCATACGGTCTTAATATATAGTAGAAATAGCTAGTGGAGAAATGTGGACAATAACATCTATATAAAATATGTGCTTTGCCATAGTTGATTTTTGAAAGCCATTTTAAAAATGAAAGCAATACTGTATATGTGATAGTCATTTACTGGGAGGGTATGGTTTCCAATCTACCAAGTAAGAAATTAGACTGAGTTTGTTACTTTTCAATGGCAACTCAGACATGACATGAACACACATATTAAAGCTTTATTTTATTGATTCCAATGTGAAATCATACAAAGACATAGATTCTTTTGATATTTAAGATACACTTTGATTTTATACTAACTGCCCTTGAAATTCTATTCCGCATTTAAGGTGATTATTTTAATAAAACTATTTAATATGTAGAGTAATAACAAAATCAGGGAGCTTAAAAGAGTCAAGTGCTGGGAAGGTCCATCAATTACTACAGCACTATTTATCATTTCTGTAAACAAAAAGTTGGCAAATATGGTTGTGAGTAGTACAATCCCAGAAAGAGATTTTGGTTAAGTGCTGCATGAAAATCTAATAGGAAAATAAAATAAATAAATAAAACGGCCCCAGGCTTGACACCAATTTGTAAAATGTGCTGAATAGGATACCAGGGAGAGAAGTTCTGCTAACAAAATACAGGTCACAGATTTGCTCCCAGAAAGTAAAGTCATTTCACTGTTAACGAAGGCCCAGGACCACAGCTGGTGCCACTAAACCCACCCCACCTTCACGCATTTTTCTGAGATCTTATTCCTAAGGAAGACAAGGCTGACCAATGGGGCTCTTCCTATGCAAATCCAAGTCATGCCCAAGGTGTAAACAAATCCTGACCTGACCAAGTTCTGAACAATGTTCTATGTCAGAAGACTTGAATTAAAAAAAAAAAAATCAAAGTACTAGAGTAAAAGGAAGAGTGAAATGTTAACTTTCAAAAAAAAAGTAAAACCGGCTTGGGACAGGCTTGCCCTGAGTCTCCATATATTTCCAGATTCAGTCATGGGATAAAAACAAAACAAACAAAAAGAAACCAACACCTTATCTTTACCCGGTTCGTTCTATTCTATGCCTTTAGTATCCATTTGTTGGTTTTACTAGTAGTTCATTTGTCTGTTAAGCTAAAGATGATCCCATATTATTTCAGAATTTGGAAGTAGTGATAAATGGTGGTAGCGCTTGGTGTTTATAATCATTCTCTGGGTATTTTTTCCCTTTCCTTTTTCCTATTTGGCTCTTGGACTAAACAAAGAATATCTATTTTAAAAGAATCGTTTTTCTTATCACTTCAACTTTTGCTTGCTCTGTGTATCCTTATGCAATCAAATACTATTTTGTTTTTTTTTGCAGCAACACAGAGGTGATGAAATTGGCATGCCACGATGTAAAGATAATTTAGGGTAACATAGAAAGCAGTCCATCCAGCCTTACC